AGCTAGCATATGCACTCACACAACCGCACAAGGAGTGTCTCCAACAATAAACCAATCTTCACTGCATTAAATCTAAACCTTAACATATATCAATTTTATCCCGCCAGATTTATTATGCAAAAAACAAACACCAAACTTTTTTTAAAAGTATTTAAATAATCGTCTCATCCAAATCGTCTCAATATACGGAGAAATGATTCCTAAAATCCCTCAACTTTTTCAATCCAATCTATAGAATCATACTGGTTCCTCATGCGCATAACGATACCCTCCGTCAGCAATTATAAAATCTGCATTAGACTTTATTTTTACTCTCAGACTTGATCTACTCTGAGTTCATATTACTAAAACCCGACAAATAGTGCGATTCTAGAATTTCTAAATCTGTGCAGGGCGAGTTGCGTTGTTTACCCTACTTGAAAACTTTCCGGTGATGAGTGGTCAGTCGCATCCGAGATTATGCAAAAACAATCCATCAGGAATGGTGACGGGCCGGACGGCAATACTTTGCTGGGCAAGTCCCAGCACAACCTTTAACTAGCGTTACTGCACGCAACTGAGTGCCACCAGCGACTCATCATCACCAGACAATAAGACCCGAACAAAACTCACTTCACGCGCACTCACGGCAGCTTAGCGGAGAGGCGCCACTGCATTACACCCATTGTTTATATGTGAAGCATTTTAAAGATTGCCCTAATGCTGAGGATGAAATGTTCTGTAATTGCAATGGAACAGAAGACTGTAGTGATGGATCAGATGCAATAACAGAAGAGTGCAGATTTCATTTGTGAGGGCCACTTCAAATGCAGCAGTGGTCCATGCATTCCAGAAAACCAGGTTTGTGACTGTTACTCGGATTGTGCTGATGGATCTGATGAAAGAAACTGCTCAACCACCCCGTCTAACAAGTGGAGATGTGACAGTGGGAAGTGTATCAATCCCTGGGATGTTTGTAATGGTTATAGGAATTGTGATGATGAGTCTGATGAAAAGAACTGCTTTGCTTCTTCACCTTGCTATGGAATCATATGTAATTCAGGTGAATGCATAAATGATGACGCAAGATGTGACTCGCACATAGACTGTCCAGATGGTTCTGATGAACGTAATTGTACAGGCAATATATGTTCAGGTTATGAGTTCCTGTGTGGAACAGGGCATTGCATCTCCACATCACTTGTATGCGATGGTCGAGAAGATTGTCCCGACGGTAATGACGAAGAAGATTGTATCGTCTCTGCAGAGTGCAGAAATTACCAATGTACGTCTGGAGTATGTTTTTACTATCATCAACTTTGTGATGGAATTTACCACTGTCAGGACCGCAAGGATGAAAGTGCCTGCATAAATATTACATGTCCATCCAGTCGACCTTTTAAGTGTGATTCTGGCAAATGTTTATATTCTTCATCTAGGTGTGATGGTTACAAACACTGTCTTGATGGCAGTGATGAGATGAATTGCTTAAATGTATCCTGTTCAGACCGGAATACTTTCAAATGCGGATCAGGTGAATGTATTTACGATTCCTTGGTCTGCGATTATCACCGTGACTGTATGGACGGAAGTGACGAGAGAGGCTGCGACTGTCAGTATAACCAATTAAGATGTGATTCAGGTCACTGTATTTCTAACGATTCTCGCTGTAATGGCATTTGGGAGTGTTTGAGCGGCAATGACGAGAAAGAATGTGACAACTTTACTTGTCCTCCTCATCGTCCATTCAAATGTGGGTCAGATGTTTGCCTTTCAGACTACATCTTTTGCAATGAAGAGGCTGATTGCCCCGGTGATGTGCACGAAGTCTGCTTAAATAGAACATGCAGTGATGATAAATACCATTGTGCATCTGGCGAATGTGTTCATGGATACCAATGCGATGGTAGGATGGACTGCAAAGACCGAAGCGATGAGGCCAACTGCCAAGATTTTGTGTGTCCTTCTAATCGACCTTTTAAGTGTGGCTCAGGGGAGTGCAAGTTGCAAAATCAAGTATGCAATGGATATCAAGAATGCAAAGACGGAAGTGATGAAAAAAATTGCAGTAAGGAAACCAACCGAGCGTAATTTCTATTGACCGAAGCTCTGTCCGTGACGGGTATGAAGATTGTAGAAGTGGGAGTAATGAGCTAGCAGGCTGAGAGATGTTCTATACTAATAACTTAACATCTGTAATGATACCGAATGCCCCCCCCCCCCAACTGGATTTGTGATGGATACGAAGACTGTCGTGATGGAGATGATCAAGACTGCCATACCTATATCAGGCAGTGCAATTTGAATCAGATGAAATGCACATATGACGATCAATGTATACCCTCTAGTTACGTCTGTGACACTTACTTTGACTGTGGAGATGGAGAAGATGAGCAGAATTGCTCCACAAACCACCGCTTTCCCCCTGAATGATTCTTTCACATGAAATGTAATAGGTATTTCTGCAAACAAGACATCCAATATCATCCCCTGAAGTTCTGAATGTTTTCTCTTCCAAATC